TTTGGCTTTGCAATGAAGTGCTGGAATGATTAGTTTCCTTTGTTCAAGAAAATGACCATACCACAAATCCATGTGCAGCATGTTGCTCCTACCAATTTTTAATTTTTTGTTCAACACTTTGTGGCATGTGAAATTGGTTGGATACTTGCAAAGTTATTAATTATTATTTGTGGCTAATCTGGTAAACATTCAAAATCAGACTCCTTATTTTTGTTTGGATCTTGTATCCCCAACCCATATGGTAGTATGGTTTATTTTCCACTGAAGATATTTCGGGTGACGGTTGAAGCTTCTTCCTGGTTATCCAGCGACAGCAAGATCCTGGGCATGGCGTGTCAACGATTCAGCAAGGGAAAGTCTGAAACGTTTGAATTGGTTTCAGACAAGTGGCGCGTGCTCGTGCCAACCTTGTGTTTTTCAGACGATTTCTGGTGCACGGTTATCTGTTTTGTAGCATCACAAAGGAGTTTGGCCCTGACATCTTGGGTCACTTCTTTCTTTCCATGTCATCTTCCGTCGCGCCACAAAGGAAAATCTTGATTTTGTGGTGAGTCTTGGCTCTCACTTGCATTTAAGAGGACTCGTATATGTTGATCGATGATGAAGGTTCAGAATGCTGAATTGCTCCCCTATAATCTGAATTGTGAAATACTCATATTACAATATCAAAGATTGTAATGAAAGCTAGATAGCCTAAATTACAGTAATTCTTTTTTCTCTGGTTAGGGAGGGAGTTTGAGTTTGATAGTACCAACAGCTGACAGGATATCTTTAGATGAAGTGGGAAGAAGGCTACAAAGCAGACCGCAGCCCCACCTGGCAGTGGTAAAGCAGGCCGCGACCCTACCTGGCAGTGGCAGAGAAGGCCCTCAAGTCGGTGGGTGCCTTTCCCGCATAAAAGCCAACGGTCACCCCCTTCCTTCCCCTGCCTTCAAAACTTCCAGTCTTCCCCTGCCCGCCGGCCTCCTCCTCCAGTCCTCCCTCAACACCACCCCCACAAAAGCTCTCCGGAATCCAAGTCTCCGACCACACCTGTCCAAGAACCTCCCCGCCTTCTTTCTCCGATTCGGTCACCGACAAGCTCACCGCGCCTCGGCCAAGAATGGACCGCCCGATGGCGAAGGGGCACGGGAGGAGTCGCCACAGGGGCAGGGCCCCTTGGCCGCCTGAGCTCGTTAGTGAGGGAGCGAGCAAGGGAGCGCCGCACACGCATGACCGTAGTGAGGAGGCCGCGCGGTGGGCTAGCCTGGCCGCCATGATCGAGGCCCTCTGGGCGGGCTGTAGGGGCTCGGGAGGCTGCTTCGCTCTTTCTTCGCATGGCGGCAGCTCGTCGAGGTCGAGTTGCCGGCCACAGAGGAGGAGGATGAGGAGGTGCCCCTCGGTAGTCCGCGCCAGGGTCGTCAGCACCAAGGCGACGATCTCGCTATGCAGTATGGCCACCTCCACCTCCTCCCAACCCCTTGCTGGTATCATTCTTTTCACTTCTCTTCTGTCAAGATCACGAATTGGTTGAATCTTGCGTCGATTTCACCCTGTTCGCTTGATCGTTTCTGTGGCTTATAAGCCGGCTGATGCTGTTTTGTTGTGAGAGAAAAACTTTGTATCATGGCTGATAAGCATGGCTGATACGATCAAGCGAATAGGGTATTTGTCACGATGTGGTTTCAGAACATGTGGTTCAGAGTTGTTCTAAATTCATCACCTTCTTTGTGATTTCTAGGTTCATACAGTGTGGATTTTGTCAACATGTGAATTCAGAACTTAGATTCAGAGTTGTTTGTTTCTAGATTCATCACCTTCTTTCTGATTCACACGGCATAGATTTTTGTCAAAATGTGATTCATAACTTAGGTTCAGAGTAGTATGTTCTAGATTCATCACCTTCTTTGTGATTCCTAGGTTCATACTGTGTGGGTTTTATCAACAGGTGATTCAGAACTTATATTCAGAGTTGTATATTCTAGATTCACCACCTTCTTTGTGATTCCTAGATTAATACAGTGTCAAGTTTGTCAACATGTGATTCAGAACTTAGATTAAGATTTGCATTTTCTAGATTCATCACCTTCTTTTTGATTCCTAGATTCATACAGTTCATAAGAAAAAACAGAACTCTAGGATTCATTGTTCTGCTACCTTTTGTTCTTTTAGATGGTTAAAGGAAAGTGTTGGATTATAGCCCTTCGCTCGTACCTTCACCCGGACGGACGAAGGTACCTTCACCAGGACGAAAGGTACCTTCGCCGGGGTGAAGGGAAAGCTAGGGTGCTAGTTCCACACAGGAGAATAGAATGGGGAGAGAGTGAGTGCCCCTAGTAATAGGGTTTGGGGAAATCAGAAGCCCCTTTGCCCCTGCCCCTTGGGTTCTATTTATAAGGGAGGTGGGAGGAGGCAATCTTCCTGCCGAACCCCTTTGGTTCATAAATTTACATACAGGTCCTCAAACTAATTAGGCATTGGGCCTTTTTACATGGAGGGGGGATAGGCACAGCCGTCCCTACGCCCAACAGAAAGAGTGTCTCAAAGCATCTGGAAATGCAATACAAGGAATACTGCAGGATCAGAGCTAGTGTTCCAGTTAGCTCATGTCTTTGCCATATGTGCTTTTTTGAGATGCCACGTCATGACCATATGATAATTCTTAAGCGCGAGGTGACAATTCTAACCGTTAAATCTAGTCACATTTACTAATGTTCTATGTCTAATTTGAAATTGCTTATGCAGATGATTAAACATTGCGATGATATGCACCTCGGAACAGGTAAACCATGCGAAGTTGTTGATTGCAAAGTCAGAGTTAGCACAGAGCGTGACTACCAATTGCATATGCACTTCTGCCACCCTGATGTGCCTTTCTAGAGGTGATCCTTTGCTATGGTAAAACCAAAGCCTTTCTTGATTATATAAAAAGTTGTATTATTACAATAAGTTGATTAAATCAATCAAAGTTGGCAAGGAAATACACATTCAGTTTTTGGTTGGCTCCCCCTTGAAATGATCAAAAAATTGTTGAGGGGGTGGATGAAAAAAATTGCTAAGAATAGTAGTTAGTTAGTAATTGTTGGGATAGCAACTGTATTAGGGACAGTGTATGCATTGGCCTTGAATTTTGGGCTTTGTTGCAGGAAGAAGGAATGGTCTGGATCGAGACTATGAAGATTAAAAGGAGTGCTCAGATGGTGGTGATTGTAAGGAGCAAAAGCTGGATTGTTCCAATTTTGTTGCTTTTCTGCTTTAGAACTGCACGTGTTTCTTTCATGTCAGTCAAAGTCCAGACTCCATGAAGCATCATCCAATAGGAGTGGTGGCCATTCTGTTGAAATTGCTGTAACTCATACATTCTGTTGGTTTTGACTGAAAGACTTGTTTTGTGGCTTAACTGTCAGTTTCTTAGGCATACAGTACATACTGATGAATGAAAAGAGTAGTTCTTTATCTTGGAGGTGACAAAAAGTTTCACACTGGATTTTGTATTACAACTGAGATAAGCCTTTTTGCTTGGAACATCAGGGCATTTTTTTTTTGTCATTGGAAAGTCATTATGTAGAGAGTTCCGCTGCATTGATAGATCATGGATAATCCATGAATTCACAAATGCTCAACAACTTTTTTGACTGTTCATGAGTTCCAACATTTAACTTATGGGTTGCGATGATCAGGTTTAGTTCCACTTCATTCCCTGTAACTTTCTATGAGTCATATGATGTTCACTATGCAAAATCAGCTTTGAGTTAATATGTAGTATGCAATCCAACAGTTTGTGAATACACGAATTGCATTTGTAGAAAAAAAAATGATGCATTTTGTTCTCCTTACCTGAGTGTGCCAGTGCAACAAATGCTGATTACCACAAGCTTCTAGGGCAAACCTGAAAATTATTGGCAACGTTGGTTTGGGAAAATTTGATGATGTTAACGTGGTGTCTGCATGTTTCCAGTTTCCTGCAACAATCCGGATCAACATGCCCAACACCTTTAGATGCTGTACATTTTGTTTAAGGTGATGTGTCTAGAAAATACAAATCAAGTCTGTCTTCTGCTAATTATTTAGTAGTGCAAGTGTGATAATTCACTGGTGGTACAGTGTATAACAAATTTGTTCTGTTTGGTTAGCAAATTTATTAGTGGGATCTTGTTAGTCATTTTGGTTAGCGACAAACACAGGACACATGGACAAATCCATTCCATACCACTGAAAATTGGCTCAATGTCTTGATGATACAGGTCATTGTGACATCAATCGCATAAAAAGAAAGTGTCTTAGTGGTGTATTCATTCATCAAAGGTACCAAGAGTGAAAATTCCATTCCTCAACCCTTAAACCATTGAGAAAACAGGGTAACTGGCATCGTCAGGGAATAGCAGTACGGCTACAACAGATCTCACTGCAACACTTATGAGCTTATGAACTATGATATTGATTTCAGATCTCATCTTATGATTCAACGTATATGCCAAATGACAGCAAGCTCAGATGCTTCCAGAGAAGCATGCCATTTGGCAGAACAGTGTAGTCATCGGCCATGGTATACCTGAAGAAACAATTGCTAGCGTACAGTCCAGATGATGATTCAGAGCTGGGTTTCCGTGGACTGGCTATGCTTGTTTAGCTCACTGCAACAGACCGAAGCTGCCATTTCCGCCTGATACTGGAAATCATACCAAGAACAAGAAAGACAAACCACGAGCACTTCATCTTACTCGTCAATGGAAACTACTGCAGACGATTCAGCTCAGCAGTGGCTTGGTCTCTGCTCAAGATTACGACGATCCAATCAAGTAGTGCGGACCCATTTTCTCAGCAAATCAGAGGCCTTGAGTAACACCTTCATGATGCTTCCAAATGAAAATACACCCATGAATGGTTCTAACAGGAGCATACAGCAGCTAGAACTCCTATCTTTCATTTTAAATGATGTCTGAGTTACAGCCCTTTCCTTTCAAAAAAAAACAAAAGATAGCAAAAGAAATTCAATATCTGAAACAAATTGCAAAGTTGATCTATTTGCCGAATGCCAAATTCAGCTCCATAAGATTGGGTGTTATCCAAGTGGGACAAGGCCAGTTGGACCAAATCTGAGACACAATTTCCTTCTTGCTGCTATTTTTTAAGTCCCAAACTCCTATATCACGAGTATAATTGTTTAATTGCGTAGTAATTTGATCCAAATCATCAGTAAAGTAGACATGATTTGACTTCAATTTTGGGTGTTCTTCAGCACAAAGACAAAGCGAATTGTTGCGCCCAAGAAACAGCATATGGTACGGCAAGCTGTTTATTTCCACTAGCTCTTTTGCTTCCACGTCCACTTTATATACTTTTATTTTCAAGGTGCGTGCCCGCCATTTCCTAGGGTCATCGTCATCTTCATCCTGTCCCTCTGGAACATCATCATCCGCATCCTCCCCCTCTGGGACATCACTATCCTCATCCTCCCCCTGTGGAACATCAACAGTCCTCCAAACTTGCAGCAGATCGCCCCATGGAGCCCGAATAATGTACATGCTCTCATAGATACAATACTTCAACCTGTCAATGATTACTCTCATTGTGACATTGGAGCCAGTGAGATCAAAGGCATGAATTTCTCCAACTGATTTCAATGCATATAATAGACCATCCATATATACACAATCACTGTAGTCTGTGCCGTGTGGCAGCCAGGTCCACTTGTCATCTCCTGCTCTTGCAAACGAAAGCTGAAAAAATGGGTTGTGAATGAGAACCACAATGTAGCTTCCCGTGGATGGATCAGGAAATACAAACGCTTTGAACTAGAGGTCCTCGCGCAGAATGTTGGGAGCATGTAGTTCGGTCCTGTAAAATTCCTCAGCAGTATGATATGACAACTCATACTTGTTGATAGTGCCTGTGGCATCAAAGATGGGCTTCACATGCTCAATGGTGATCACTGAGGGCAGAGCAATCTGTTCACCAGTGATGGGATTGACAAGGTGCAGCTCGGACCTCTCATCCGCAGTAATCAGCCAGCCATTGGAGGAACCGATTAGCGACCTACTATGGATGGGTGGTTCGGGCAGAGTTATCTTGTAGGCCCTATTTTCCGCAAGGCTGTATAAACAAGCAACATTTTCACCAGCAGATTTAGAAGTATAGAGTAGGCATGGTGTCTGAGACTGTTTGTTCTTGCCCAGGTTGCGCAGGCATGTGTAGGCCGAATGCCAGGACGAGCAGACTGAGCCTGCTCGTAAAAGGTCAGGGATCTCCAATGTGGCAAAGATGCTCATCAACACATCCTGCGGCAGCTCTGGCAATGTGCTGACCTCAACCTCCAATTCCATCAGTGGTTGATGGAAATGCTCACCTTTTCGCAATTTCTTCAGAAAAAAACTGGCAGTGAGACAGAGCTGCTTAGGCAAGATTGTGAAGAATAGACTCCACAGATCTTTGGGTTGCAGAGCTACCACACCACATAGGCTGCTCATCATTAGAGCTCTGCTACAGGTCGCCATTGGAAGAGATCGGGCGAATCCCTCTTGCAAGGTGAATTGCTTCTGAAGGAACACTTGCAAAGCTGCAAAACTTGGATGGAGCACGCAGATCCTGGTTGGTTGCACTCAGTGGCGGAGCTCGTCAAATTTAACGCCTAGGGCCACTATATATAAGTATGTAAACCATCCATGATCTAATTTAGAATCAACTATTTAAAAATGCTCATTAGATAGATATCATAGTTAAGAATAATTATGTTTAATTTTCTCAAAATTTACACACTTAATTGGGTATGTGACTCGATAAAATTTGAGAAGAAAAGTTTTCTTTTGATAAGAGAAACAAAATTAATAGTGCCTAATTTTGATGTCTCTTCATTCAGATTTTCCCTTCATGCAAGGGCAGATCCCAGTGCCGGAGGCTCCCACATGAGTGGGGTCTGAAGAAGGAAAAAACCGAGGCAAGCCTTCTCCTCGCAAAATCTACGAAGAGACTGCTTCGAACCCACAACCTGGTGACTCAGTGAGACAACTCTCACTACTGCACCAGGCTTGCCCTTCGCTATTTTCCCTTCATGAAAAAAATGACGAGAAAAGCCTTATGACTAGCTAGCCGACAAGGATCGTTCGGTCTTGCATTTAATATGATTCTAGTTGAGACTATACTGTGATTAATTGGGTGCTCACCGTTGGGCCCCGGGCGTCCGGCTCCAGCGTTCGCTTCAGGCGGCGGTGCGCCCTGCGCCCTAGTGCCATACGGCACACGATAGTGTGGTGCCCCTTGCGCTAGGTGGTGATGCAGCTGTGCGGCCTGCAGCCCGCTAAGGTGCCGAGCATGGAGCACGTGCCTGGACGTAGGCTCCGCCGGCCGTCGGTGCCGGGAGGCTGGCTGGAGGCAGCTAGGGCTTTGCTCCTCCTCTGCGAATTAGTACGAGGATGGAGCACAGGAGCGGGAAAAGGTGAAACGGTATGACACAGCCACGCGCGGCGAAGAGAAAGCAGTTTGCACTTTCTAGACAATGACATACTGGGTTGGACACCTGGCTCTTATGCTTTCTTGCTGGGCAGCTAGGGCTTTGCTCCTCCTCTGCGAATTAGTACGAGGATGGAGCACGGGAGCACGAAAAGGTGAAACGGTATGACACAGCCACGCGCGGCGGAGAGAAAGCAGTTTGCACTTTCCAGACAATGACACACTGGGCTGGACACCTGGCTCTTATGCTTTCTTGCTGGGCCGACTAGAGCCACTGCATGATATACATAGTTGGGCCATGAAAAATTAAAGAGGCTATAAGGGGGGATTGGGGCCACGCCTAGGGCCGTGGCCCTAGGCCCAAATCCGCCCCTGGTTGCACTTATATAGATGGCTACTATAAATAGTGCTACGCTCCTGAACTCCCGATCCGAGTAGGTGACCACTGACCAGAAACCACAGCCTGTTCGGTTGGCTGGTTCATATCGTTGCTGGTTCGTTTATGTGAGAGAGAAATACTGCTGGCTGGTTTATGTGAATAGTATCCATGTGAGGGGGCTGGCCAGCCAGCCCAGCCAGCCAGCCTCAGCCGATCGGGCTGTTTGTTGGAAAAATAATCGGACTTCAAATCAAATTGATGGTTCTCAATCGTCCTCCGATTATTAATCGGATTCCATCCCGGATTTGCCTCCTCAGATTCTCAGTCAGTCGAATTCCGACCCCAATTCAGGCACAAACCAAATAGGATACTAACCGGGGCCAGAGGCAGTCCAGTCCGACAAGGGAATTTGGTTGGGGATGTGCTCCAAGCCGGCAGTTGAATCGGTGGTGAGCTGAGATAGTCAGCGACGTTCTTCGGCGGCGTCGGGGCAACCGCGCTATGACGGCGCAAGCGTGCGTCGGCGGCGAGGGGCCCTCGGCACGCTCCGCAACCACGCGAACGAGGCACGCCCGTCCGATGCTTGAGATGGGAAGCAGCTAGCAGTGGGAGGCGTGAGTGCCGGCGGTGGCGGTGGCGGCGGGCGGCGGGAGTGCTGGCGCCGGACGGATTTGGGGGGCGCGACTCGAGCTTGAGCGTGACGAACACGAACGGCAGCGGAAACTGATAAATGGCCTTCTCGATGTTTTTCTAAAGAAAATGTGATTTTACTTCTTTTTTATTTTAATTTTAATAGAGTAAATTGCACGGCTGAAAAAAGTATTAGACGGGTTTTATCTGGGTCCAAAACTACAAAATCGTATGTTTACCTCGGGATCGGCACGGGTGCTCACAGGACTTCTCCCGTTTGGTGGTGGCGGTGGCTCTTGGGGAGGCTGGCGCTCGCGCTAGGATTCAGGTGCGGAAAAAAATTAGATGCATACTATATCTATTGTGCCCCCGTGCATACGTGCCATAAATAATTGCCACGTGTCCAGTTTGACGATCCAACAGCGCACACCTGCTTGCCTCTCATGCGCTCGGCTCCGGCCTCCAGACTCTCGTCCGTGGTTTACGGACTGCATGCGTCGGATGCTTGTTGGTGGACACGTGCCGCACGTCGAAGCTGTGTATGCATGGACGTTGAGTATGCACCGAATTTTTTCCTCGGGCGAAGGGCGCGGCGACCTGGACCAGGTGGGCTGGCCCGAGCGGGCGTTGGCGCTGCGGCTCCGCGCGTGGGCCTGCGCAAGGCTGGAGCGCGAGCTAGGCTGGAGGGAGGAGCAAGGGGAGCACGAGCTGGGCCTCACTGCCGTTGGGGCCAGAAGAAGAGCGAGCTTGGCCGGAAAAAGTCTTTTTTACCTCCCTGAACTACTGGGCGGGTTCGCTTTTCCTCCCTCAGCTCTAAAACTGGGCATTTAGACTCCCTGAACAGTTAAAACCAGACACGAAACCTCCCTGTACATGAAACCACCGTGGTTTTGCCTGTGACCGCATCCGGCGTTCGTCATTTGAGTTTTCTCCTTCCTCGCTTCATTCCTGTGTCGTGCGGCGGCGGTCGGCGAGCGGAGCTGAGCGCGGCAAAGCTGAGCGCAGGCGCGCGCGGTGGCGGAGCTGAGCGCGGGCCGCAGGCACCAGGACCGAGCTCGAGCTCGTCGCTTGCTGGGTGAGTGAGATTTGGTATTTCGTACTCTTATGGGTTCTGATTTTTGCTAAAGTAATTTGGTCGAAGGCAAGATAAAATCCAAAGTGTTTGCAGATAGCTAAAGGACATTAAGTCTGGTACATCAAATAAAGCATAATGACACATAGTCTGGTACTCAAATAAAAATCACAGCTTGGCCGAGTCCCAAGGTGGAAGGAGAAGCATTGGCACATTGCGTTTCTTTGCTGGTTCTTGAGCATGGTGTTTCTTTGCTGGTTCCTGAGCAGATGCTTGAGCAGTAGCTCTAGTCTCCACCTTTGCCTTCGCTCTAGTGTGAACCAGACCTAGAGAACTTCTGTGAGGCTACAAAGATAGAAAATGTGCACATGTGAACATATTGACAATTGGTGTGTAAACTTATCAAACATTGCTAGCAAGTGTATTACCTGTTGCCTAATTGTAGTCGTTCCATCTGAACTTTCGGATCTGTGAGTCAAGGCTGTGTAACTCTTTCTTTTCCTTGCATTACTATCTTGTTGGGTAGATGGCACACGCACTGAGACATTTGTATTTTGAGATGCACGAGGGACAGCAGGTTGATTAGAATGAGGAGGACCTGATTGAGCAGACTGTGCACCACCTGATTGAGCAGAGTCAGTCCTCCTTCCACAAGTGGAAGCATTGTGTCCAGTGCCTTTACATTTTCCGCACCTAATCACAGTGCCTACCCTAGACATTTTTGTTGCTTTGGGCTTCTCAGTTGGTTCTCTTGTCCTCTCTTTCTTAGGTCGCCCAGGCATTTTAATATAACCTGGTGCCCTCAACTTTGGCCTGTCAGATATGGGCCAACCTTCAATCCCTTCCAGAGGTTCAAGACAATGAGCATAAGTATTTTTGAAGTGTTCTACTTTGAAACAATCTGCAATATAGTCATCCAAAACATTGGTTTTCCAGTATATGCTGGATATTGCATGACAACATGGTAAACCAGCTAGCTGCCAATACCTACAAGAGCATGTCTTTTGTTGTAAGTCAACTGTGAACGTATTGTCAAAATGTTTCACTTCAAACTTGTCTGCTCCATTACTAATAGCATGACAGTAGCCAGTCATTGTAATGTAAGTGTTTAGTTTTCTCATGATATGTGGGCATATGGCGCCCATCCACCTATCTGCTTTGGTCCCTTGCTCTTGAATCCTAATCATGACCTTCCTTCTGATTGCCTCAAGCATAGTAATGATTGGAAAAAATCTAGCTTCTACTATCCACTTATTAAATGACTCACACATATTATTATCAACTGAATCACAGTTGCTTCCTAACCTGAACCAGGCCCTGCTCCAGTGTTGTGGGTGTGTTTTCATGATTGCCTGAGCTCCTTCTCTAGTGTCTTCTGCTAGCCTGGCTCTTGCATGGTTGAAAAGCATAATGCAGGGAGCCTTGGCACATGCCCAGAATTTTTTCTGCCATTCTTTGTCACTGAACTCTTTTTTCCAATTGGCATAAATATGTCTTGCACAGTTCCTGTGCTCCGCCTCTGGTACCCATTTCTCAATAGCATTGAGAATACCTTTTTGCTGGTCTGAAATGAATACCCAGTCCCTTCCATCACCAACCTAAATGTCTCTGCACAGCAAGTCACAGAACTAGTCCCAATTGACATTATTTTCCTTGTCTACCACAGCCCAGGCAATGGGATACATCTGATTATTTGCATCTCTTCCAATAGCACAAAGAAGTTCCCCGCTCAGTGCTCCTTTAAAAAAAACAACCATCTAATCCAACAACTTTCCTACACCCTACCATGAATCCCTCCTTGCAAGCATTAAGGCATATGTACATCCTTCTAAAAATTGGTGGCTCCACATCATCCTCCTTGTTAATTACAACCATGCTCCCAGGATTGCTCCTTAATAATTCCAGTTGATAGTCATAAAGACTTTCATATTGTCCCTTTGTCGCAGCAAAGGCTTCTGAATCACCAT